AGTGGAAGATGACCCCAGTCCTTGGGCCCCTGCATCCACATGGGAGATCCAGATGAAGCTCCTGGCTTCAGCCCAGCCCAGCTCTGGATATTGCAGCCACTTGGGGAGCAAACCAACAGATGGAAGATATCTCTCTCTCTCTCTCTCTCTCTCTCTCTCTCTTCTAATTCTTTCAAATAAAACAGAAATATTTTTTAAAAATTGACTTTTCACACAAAAGGAAGGAAAAAGATATTCTTGGAATATTTCTTTGTTTAATGAGAGGGTGACTGTGTCAAAGAAACATTGAATTTTCTTCCACTTTATACAGCAAGTTGATTTAGTGGGAAAGGTATGAGCTTTGAAATTACATTGATTAGGGGCTGGCACTGTGGTGTATTGAGTTAACTCTCTGCCTGTGGTCCACTTTTGACCCAGCTCCCTGATAATGGCCTGGAAAGCAGCGAAGAATGACTCAAGTGCTTGGTTCCCTGCATCCATGTGGGAGACCTGGAAGAAACTCCTGGATCCTGGCTTAATCTGCCAGTTGCAGCCATTGCAGCCATTTGGGGAGTGAACCAGAGGATGAAAGATCTTTCAGTCTGTTTCTCTCTCTCTCTCTCTCTGTAACTGCCTTTCAAATAAAATAAATAAATCTTTTAAGGAAAAAAAGAAAGAAATTACATTGATTAGAAGTCATGTATCTGCATGACCTTAAATATGTAGTTTCCTTATTGTAAACCTCTCTTGCCTTATATATGGAATATAAATATAATCTCCGTTGGCTTGATGTGAACATTAAATGATAGTTTTTTTTTTATCTTAAGATTTATTTAAAGAGAGGGAGAAAGAGAGACATCTTTTTTTTTTTTTTTGGACAGGCAGAGTTAGAGAAAGGTCTTCCTTCCATTGGTTCACTCCCCAAATGGCTGCTACTGCCGGACGCTGTACCGATCTGAAGCCAGGAGCCAGCTGCTTTCTCCTGGTCTCCCATGTGGGTGCAGGACCCAAGCACTTGGGCCATCCTCCACTGCCTTCCCAGGCCACAGCAGAGAGCTGGACTGGAAGAGGAGCAACTGGGACAGAATCCGGCACCCCAACTGGGACTAGAACCTGGGGTGCCGGCACTGCAGGTGGAGGATTAGCCTAGTGAGCCACGGCGCCAGCTGGAAAGACATCTTTTATACACTGGTTCACTCCTCCAAATGGCCACAATGGCTGGGGCTTAGCCAGGCTGAAGCCAGGGATCTCCCACATGGGTGGCAGGGGCCCAAGTACTTGGGCCACTTTGCACTACTTTCCCTGGTGCAAGCATGGAGCAGCCAGTACTTGAAGAAATGCTCATGTGGGATGCTGGTGTCACAAGTGGTGGCTTTGCCCACTATAAAATAATTCCAGCCCCAAGAGTATTTTTTAAACTCTGGTGCCAGCTCTGTGGCTTAGTAGGTAAAGCTGCTTCCTGCAGTGCTAGCATCCCATTTGGGCAGCAGTTCGAGTCCCAGCTGCTCCACTTCCATTACAGCTCCCTGCTGTGGCCTGGGAAAGCAGTAGAAAGGTGGCATGAGTCCTTGGGCCCCTGCACCCACATGGGAGACCTGGAAGAAGCTCCTGGCTTCAGGTTGGCTCAGCTCCAGCCATTGTGACCATTTGGAGATGAAAGACCCCTCTCTCTTTCTCTGCCTCTCTGTAACTCTGCCTTTCAAGTTAATAGATAAATCTTTAAAAAAAAATCTTTGTACAATGTCTGGCCTGCTAACTGTAACTACCTGTAATAGTATTAAAATCTTGAGATCTGGGATGGGCATTAGGTGTAGCAGATAAGATGCCTGGAATGCCTGCATCCCATATTGTAGTGCCTGGGATAAAGTACTGGCTCTGTTCTAGGTTCTGGCTTCCTGCTAATGCTCACTCCAGGAGGCAGCAGGTGATGGCTCAAATAATTCAGTCTCTGCCACCCATATGGGAGAGAGATTGATTTCCTGGCTCCCAACCTTGACCTGGCCCAGTCCTGGCTTTTGCAGGCATTTGGCAGTGAACCAGTGGTTGACATTCATTCATTCATTCTCTCTCTCTCTCTCTCTCTCTCTCTCTCTCTCTGCCTTTAGAATCAATTTTTAAAACAATTACAGAAAATAATTATTACAATAGATTTCAAGATCTCTTGGACCAAAAGTCTTTGGTCTTCTCTCATCTTGAACATTACTCTTGTGTTCCCTTAGGTAGATCATGCTCACTTGTATCTGAAACTCCCTAGCGATATTGGTTTGTGTGACTTCCTGTCTTCTGCAGATATGTCTTTGCCGGACTCGACTCTTTCTGGAGAGGGAAACACAGAAGCAGAGATCATGGCTGCTGTAGTTTTTTTTTTTTTCCATTGGACCTCTGGTGTGTTAAGATTTCCTCTGTTTCCAACCTGCTGTATTGATTTGCGTGTATTCTACTTCTGAAGTTTGGGACTTTGCCTCACCCAACCCTCTCTGGAAACTGACACCTAACAGTTTGACACAGGAAATTTGGGTTCATCATGGTAAAATACAATCTATTAGAAGATTCACTTTCCAAAAATTCACAGCTACTGGCTCCAGCCTGGTGCAGCCCTAGTTGTTGGAACACTTGGCAAATAAACCAGGCAGATGGAGATATCCGCTAAAATAAAATAAACAGTAATGTTTTTTAAAAAAAATTAAAAATAGATCTTTTTCTTAAAGAATCTTTCAGTTGGGACATTAGTGTTAGCTAAGTTGGTCAACAGAAAATTCATGAGAATAGATTTAAGCTGTTACCCAATTATAGGTGGGATTTAACTTGTCAAAAAGTATTTGTGAGGGTATCCTGGTGAGAAGAGAGCTTACAGGCAGGCTTTGAAGTAGTGAACAGTGACTAAGCTACTGAATCAAGTTGGAAAGCTGTAAAGGACAAGACTAGAAATTAGATGTTATGTTGAATATTTTAATTTTACCTAAGGACATTCAAGTGTATATGTGCTTGGAATAGGTATTAATCTGATTTAAAAAAAGTGTTTTAACAGTGACTTTGAAATACAAGTTTTGTAAGAAACACTTGATCAGTAGTTCTATGTTGGTTTAGTAATGTATCATAGCCTGGTCACATGCATCCCTAATTTTCAGAGGTTAAGGCTCATATCATTATTAATTTTTTAAGGTTTATTTATTTATTTGAAAGTCAGAGTTACAAAGAGAGAGAAGAAGAGGCAGAGAGGGAGAGAGAGAGAAAGGTCTTCCATGCAATGGTTCACTCCCCAATTGGTTGCAACAGCCAGAGTTGTGCTTTTCCAAAGCCAGGAGCCAGGAGCTTCTTCCGGGTCTCCCATGCAGGTGCAGGGGCCCAAGGACTTGAACCATCTTCTAGTGCTTTCCCAGGCCATAGCAGAAAGCTGGATTGGAAGTGATACAGCCCAGATTCGGACCAGTGCCCATATGGAATGCCGGCACTGCAGGTGGTGATCCTACCCGCTACTCTACAATGCCAGCCCCAGCATAATGCATTCTTATTTCATATTGTTAAAGCTAGTTCTTTCCCTTGAACATGAAATATTTCATGAGTCTGTACTGAGACTTCAAGTTCAGAACCATGGAGTTTTTAACCTAATCTCATCAGTATTATATTTATATCTTCCTCTTTATATCTTTGTTCTCCCATACCAAATTGATTAGTTTTTAGGAACAGTGATAGACTAATTTGCTTTATCCAGCACTGCACACACAAAAGTTACAGAATATCATTTCTACTTCTACTACCAATAAGATTGCTTACTGAAAATGTCTTGTTTTTGTTACTGTCTTTGTTTTGGAGTTCTTACTCAGAGGTACAGAAAAATTACTGTGTTAAAATCACTCAGAATAGTTCCTCTCTGATAAATGGGTATGCTATTCCAGCTGGTTGTAGTCTACTAGATTGCTTTCTTGAAGTTTAATCCTTGTTTTAAAACAATATAAAATATTTCCACAGTTCAAAAGTCAAATATACGAAACAAGAAATATTCCAAAGAGCCTAGGTTCTATTTCAGTTTTCTCTACTCTGTTTCCTCCTTCTCTCAGTAGTTCATCATTTTTTTTGACAGGCAGAGTGGACAGTGAGAGAGAGACAGAGAGAGATAGGTCTTCCTTTGACATTGGTTTACCCTCCAATGGCCGCCGCAGCTGGCGTGCTGCGGCCGGTGTGCTGTGGCTGGTGCATCGTGCTGATCCAAAGGCAGGAGCCAGGTGCTTCTCCTGGTCTCCCATGGGGTGCAGGGCCCAAGCACTTGGGCCATCCTCCACTGCACTCCTGGGCCACAGCAGAGAGCTGGCCTGGAAGAGGGGCAACTGGGACAGAATCCGGTGCCCCGACCGGGACTAGAACCCAGTGTGCCGGTGCTGCAAGGTGGAGGATTAGCCTATTGAGCCACGGCACCAGCAGTAGTTCATCATTAAAAATACTTTGGACTCATTCTTCCATTATTTATACAAGCATTTGTACATATTTCATATCCTAACCAAAGAACTGCCCCCCAAAGTCTCATGTGTTCTTTTCTGTCTCAGAGCTTATAGCATTTTGTATCTGTGATCTAATTGATGCAGTATCTTTTATTAAGCCATATTCTACAGATTAGAACTGAAAGAAGATCTTTTACACAAGTCAGGGTTTTCTGAGATAGCAGGTTATTTGGGTAGAAACGACTAGCTGTAAACAAATATTTTAGACTTTCTAGAGAAGGAAAAAGCCATGCTGTTTGCCTCCAGAAAGTATAGGAGGATCAATATGTAGAGTTTCTAGAAAACCAAATTTGAATTTGGTAAAACTACTCGCAGATGGAACTCCAAAGATGGAATAGGCTTCCTCTTATGGTTTTAAGTTCTTATCACTGGAGAGATCTATATGTCCTATAAGGATTAAGCAGTTAGCATACATAATCATTTGGTGATTCTAATTTCTGGAGTTTTTCTCCAGTTTTATACATGTTATTCTGCCTAACAGGGGTGTTAGTATAGTCTCTGGGTGATCACGATTTATTTATTCTAGGAATCACTGACTTTTAAAGATGTGGCTTCACATCTTTTTAATGATATGACTTCACATTGGAGGAATGGAGATTGATGGACCCTACACAGAGCAACCTGCACAAGGATGTGATGCTAGAGAATTACAGGAATCGTGTCTCCCTGGGTAAGGTTAATTCCTCTTATATGTTGATAAATTTTCCCCCTTGACTCAGTTTACTGAGGATACAGAGCTTCTAAAGTACCTAACTGAATTTTAGGTTTGAGTTTAGGTGTCAAGCTCTCTGAATCTTTAGAGAACATTGTTGGTCATCGTGCTGTTCGTCATTCTTAACTAAATGATCTACTTATTGTAGAATAATAACTGCAAGGGGTCTTCAGAAAGTTTATGGAAATGTGTATTATGACAAACTACATGGATTTCACATTTTTACACCAAAATAAGCTCATACTGACTTGCTGTAACATGTCTGAATAGGTTCTAGTTTGAGGATAAGACATCAGTTTGAAAGGAGATCCTAACAGAGCACCTGAATTCTAAATTCTGCTAAAATTGAAACAAAACAAACATCATATTTATGTTGAAGCATGGGCTGGAAGAATGATGAAATCATTTATGCTTATTAAAAATTTTCAGGGGGGCTGGCACCACGGCACAGTAGGTTAATCCTCCATCTGCGATGCCAGCACCCCATATGGGTGCCACTTGTCATCCCCGCTGCTTCTCTTCCAGTCCAGCTCTCTGCTATGGCCTGTGAAAGCAGTGGAAGATGGCCCATGTTCTTGAGCCCCTGCACCTGCATGGGAGACCCTGAAGAAGCTCCTGGCTCCTGGCTTCTGGCTTCTGATTGGCTCAGCTCTAGCCATTGCAGCCATTTGGGGAGTGAACCAACAAAAGGAAGACTTTTCTCTCTGTCTCTTCCTCTCACTGTCTGTGACTCTCCCTCTCAAATAAATAAATAAAATTAAAAAATAAAAAAAAGTTTTCTGGGACAATGCCTCCAGAGAAATCAGTTTACTAATAGAAAACTCATTTTAAAAAGCAGCAGGGTGATGTTAAAGATGAACACATTAGCAGCAGGCAATCCATGACAATTTGTAAGGGAAAAATTAATCTTGCTTGTGCTTTAATTAAAGAGACCTGACAGTAGCACAACAGTAGCCATCCCTAAACATCCCAATTGCCTCAGTCTGCCTAGCTCTGACTGAAAAATAAAGTGGAGCAGAATTTCCACTTGATCCCCCAGATCAGCCCCAGATAAGAGCAGAGACTACCATAGGAAATTGTAAAACTGGATCAATTTCTTTCGAGAATTGTAAGAGGAGATGAAACATGTCTTTACCAGTATAATCCAGAAGGCAGAGCACAGACAAAGCAATAACTACTGAAGGTGGAAGTGGTCTCATCAGAGCAAAGGTCATGGTAGCCAGATTTTGGGGGTGCTTAAGGCATTTTGTATGTTGACTTTCTCTGAAAGGCTAAAGAACAATAACGTCTACTTATAGAATGTTTTTGAGAAAGTTGGTCAAAGTTTAGCTGAAAAACCATGCAGGGAAGCTTTCCCAGAGTGTCCTTCACCACAGTAATGCTCCTCCTCATTCCGCTTGTTGAACAAGGGCAGTATTGTGAGTGTTTTTAGGGAAAACATCAGGCATCCACCTTACAGCTCCTTCTGACTTGTTTTTGTTTCCTAATCTTAAAAGATCTTAAAGAATGCCCATTTTTCTCAGTTAAAAAGCTACAGTGATGTGGTTAAAATCCCAGAGCCCTCAGTTCTTTCATGTTGGACTAAGTGGCTGGTATCATTGTTTACAAGTATCTTCAACTTGTAAGCTCATGTTGAGAAATAACATTTTATTTTTGTATCTTTTAATTCCATTTATCATGAACTTTTTGAAGTCCTTTCAATATTTTTTTTTTTTTTTTTTTTTTTTTTTGGGAATCTAGTTCCAAAGTTTATTCTCATCTGTTCCATAAAGGAATTATCAGTGCTTCTAAAAAGAAAGAAAACAAATGTGTCCATTTTCTTTTTAATTAATAATTAATTTGAAAAACAGAATGAGCGAGAGGGAGAGAAATCTTCCATCTACTTGTCACTCTCCAGATGTCTCACAGCCAGAGCTGGACCAAGCTGAAGCCAGGAATCCAGAACTCAGCCTAGGCCTCCCACATGGATGACAGGGGCCCAACTACTTGATCCATCACCTGTTACCTCCCAGGATGTACATTGGAAATTGAGACAGAATTCAAACTCAGGCCTCTGATGTGATGTGGGTGTCCTAAGCAGTATCTTGACCACTATGCCAAACACCTACAACCATTTTTTAAAAAAATATTTATTTATTTATTATTTATTTGAAAATAAGAATTCCAGAGAGGCAGGCAGGGGCAGTCTCCCATTTGCTGATTCACTCTCCAGATGAGCTCAACAGGTGGAGCTGTGCCAACCTGAAGCTAGGAGCCAGGAGCTTGCTCCAGGTCTCCCATGTGGGTACAGGGACCCAAGGACTTGAGCCATCCTCCACTGCTTTCCCAGGCCACAGTAGAGAGCTGGATCTGAAGTAGAATAGCCAGGACCTGAACCAGTGCCCATATGGGATGCTGGCACTGTGGGCGGAGGCTTTGCCCACTACGCCACAGTGCTGGCCCCCCCATTTTGTGTTTATTTGAATTATTCCCATGATTCATTATCACATGAAACCATAGTATTAAGCTCTCTTGAGATAAATACCTTTATAATTCTCTAGATTGTTACTGTACAATAGAATATTCTGCTATGATAGAGAGGCTCTATGCCTCTGCCTATTGCACTGGAATTCCATATGGGTGCCAGTTCATGTCCCGGCTGCTCCTCTTCAGATCCAGCTCTCTGCTATGGCATGGGAAAGCAGTGGAAGATGACCCAAGTCCTTGGGCCCTGCACCCATGAGGGAGACCTAGAAGAAGCTCCTGGCTCCTAGCTTTGGATCAGCTCAGCTCAGGCCATTGCAGGCAATTAGGGAGTGAACCATTGGATGGAAGACCTCTCTGTCTCTTCCTCTCCCTCTCTGTAACTCTCTGTAACCACTCAAATAAATAAAAATAAATCTAAAAAACAGAAATCTGTGGGGCTGGTGCTGTGGTACAGCAGGTTAACACCCTGGCCTGAAGTGCCAGCATCCCATATGGGTGCTGGTTCAAGACCCGGATGCTCTACTTCCAATCCAGCTCTCTGCTATGACCTGGGAAAGCAGTAGAGGATGGCTCAAGTCCTTGGGCCCCTGCACCCACATGGGAGACCCAGAGGAAGCTCCTGGTGCCTGGCTTTGGTTCGGCACAGCTCCAGCCATTGTGGCCAATTGGAAAGTGAACCATCAGATGGAAGACCTTTCTCTCTCACTGTGCCTCTCCACTCTCTGTGTAACTCTGACTTTCAAATAAATAAATCTTAAAAAAAACCAAACAAACCAGAAACCTGTATCTTTGCTAGCCTATATCACACATTCAAGCCACTTGTGGCTTTTGAGCAGTTCAAATTTGCTCCACCTAAAGAACTGGATTTTTAATTTAATTTAAAGTCTAGTTTAAACTGTCATGCATTGCTATTAGCAACTGTATTGGACAGTGCAGCTCTGTATCTTTCTGTAATAGCCACTCTATGTAGAAAATTGAGAACTGAGACTGAATTTGGCAGTAGTTCTCACAACATCAATCAAATCCTATTTATTTATTTTTGAACAGGGCTTGCAGTTTTCATACCAGATATGAAATCTCATTTGGAGAATGGAAAAGGACCCTGGGCAGTGCTGAGAGAAATTTCAAGAGGCCCCTATCCAGGTAAATTAATCAGAATCAAGAAAAAGGTTTTATTTCAAATAATATCACTGGGGAATGTTCAATGGAATATCTGAAATATTTTGGGGGGTACCTCTGCTCAACGTTGTCTCAAAGCAAAAAATCTCCCCCCACCCTGCCCCATCCTCTTCATCTCTGCCTCTCCTCTCTGTTCCCTACTTTTGGTTTCCTATCCCACCTACTCTGCTTTCTTAATTTTCAGATTTTTTCTTCCTTTTTATTAGAACATGCACAAAATATCCCTATCACTTTATCCTTTCCAGTTAATTCTGTTTTGCTTATTTGTTTCACCATTATCTGGCCTTCCTTCATTTCCTAAAAATGTTTTCTTATGCTAACCTTATTTCTTTAAGCTAAAATGCTTCTTTTAAGGTAAACCTATTTCAAACTAGAACTTAAGTTTTGATTTTTCACTTGCAAGCCTGCTGAAATTTTGAGGGGAACTTTCTTCCCTCCAGTTCTTAACTAATTGAGAGTACAAACAAGAAATGCATCAGTTGAGAATCAAAATGCAGTACCCACTTAGTATTTAATGCCTTTCTGTTTTGAGACAAGCTGGAGAACATGAAATAGTAACTGGGATGGGGGTGAAAGTGTTTCCCTCAGATCAAGTGGACAAGGGCAGCTTCTGGAGATGGGACATTTAAACTGGGCCATGAAAGGTCAGAGCAGCCATCCTGGGGAAGTGGAGAGATCATCTTGCCAGGCAAAGGGAATAGCAATGCAAAATACCTGATAGGAAAAGGATTATAATACATCCTAAATAAGGAGGGATTTGCTGCTATGGAAACTCAAGGGAGGCGGAGACTGGTAGGGAGTAAAGCTGGAGCTGGAGGGAAGCTGCCCCTGCAGGGCTTTGCAGATGATGGTCAGGAGCTTGGGTTCTAATCCAAGTGAGTGCAGAGCATGGAAAAATTTCAATAAAAGACTATTAGGAAACAACTCTGATTGAGTGACATAAAGCAGGCTAGGTTAAGAGGTTGTTCAAACAGTCTAGGCAAGAGATAGTAACTTGGTTAGGATCATGGTCTTGGAAAGACAAGTGGATTCTAGTTCTTATCTTTGTTCATGGTTTTTTTCCTTAAAGTCTGTTTTGTCTAATTTTTTTTGACAGGCAGAGTTAGACAGTAAGAGAGACAGAGAGGAAGGTTTTCCTTCCATTGGCTTACTCCCCAAATGGCTGCTACAGCCGGTGCGCTGCACCGATCCGAAGCCAGGAGCCAGGTGCTTCCTCCTGATCTCCCATGTGGGTGCAGGGCCCAAGCACTTGGGCCATCCACTGCCTTCCCAGGCCACAGCAGAGAGCTGGACTGGAAGAGGAGCAACTGGGACAGAATCCAGCACCCCAACTGGGACTAGAACCCAGTGTGCCGGCGCCACAGGCAGAGGATTAGCCTAGTGAGCCGCGGTGCTGGCCATGTTTTGTCTAATATTAATATCACTAAAACATCCTCTTTTTGGTTATTGTTTTCTCTGCTGTTACCTCTTTTCATCTTTTCACTTCTAATTTTTATGTATTTCTTTTATAAATAACATGCATTAATTTTATTTTTTAAGATTTATTTATTTACTTAAAAGTCAGGGTTACACAGAAAGGAGAGGCAGAGAGAGAGGGGTGGGGGGAGAGAGGTCTTCCATCTGCTGGTTAACTCCCCAATTGGCTGTAATAAAGCTCCTGCTCCAATCTGAAGCCAGGAGCCAGGAGATTCTTCCTGATCTCCCATGCCGGTGCAGAGGCCCAAGGCTTGGGCCATTTTCTACTGCTTTCCCAGGCCATAGCAGAGAGCTGGATGGGAAGTAGAGCAGCCAGGACTAGAACCAGTGCCCATATTGGATGCTGGCACTTCAGGCCAGGGTGTTAACCCACTGCAGCACAGCACTGCCCCCCCTTCTTTTAAAAAAAAGATTTATTTTATTTATTTGAAAGAGTTACAGAGAGAGGTAGAGACAGAGGTCTTCCATCCACTGCTTCACTCCCCAATTGGCCAAAACAGCTGGAGCTGAGCCAATCGGAAACTGAGCTGATCTGAAGCCAGGAGCCAGGAGATTCCTCCAGGTCTCCCACGCAGGTGCAGGGGCCCAAGGACTTGGGCCATCCTCTACTGCTTTCCCAGGCCATAGCAGAGAGCCAGATTAGAAGAGAAGCAGCCTGGTCTAGAACCAGTGCCCATAGGGGAGTCACTTCAGGCCAGGGCTTTAACCCGATGGATGCGCCACAGCACTGGCCCCTGTTAATTTTTTAAACCAATCTGACAGTCTATGTTTTTTGGAGTGTTTAGTCCATTCGCAACTAATATGCTTACATCGTATCTAGCTCTGCCATCTAATTGTGAAAGTCTCTTGCCTATTCTGTATTCTTTTTCCTTCCATCCATGCCTACCTTTAGATGTACTACCTCTTATTGTTCTTTTTGTTTCCTTGGTAATTATTAGTCAGTTGCTAATTATGCAGTTTTTAATTGTTTAGTAATTAAAACTGAGATTATAACATGCCTTCTTGAATCAACAATTTAATACAAGTTTCTCTCCTCTCCAAGATAGAAGGAAATTATAATAGCTTATTCCATTTACCTTCACTTATATTTTATTGAAGTTATATATTTTAATTTTGTGTATCTCAGATCTCATCAGATGTTATTATTATTACTTTATGTTTATTTCTATCATTCCTTTATGTTCACTTTTTTTCTTCATTTCTGAGCTTTATCTGGGATAATAAACACACATTAGCATTTCCTTTTGTTCAGGTATTCTTTCAAAGACTGTCCTTTGTTTTGGTTTGGTTTGGTTGGAGTTTTTTGTTTGTTTTTGTTGCCACAAAAGGTCTTTATTTGACCTTCTTTTTTTTTAAGATTTATTTATTTAGTTGTTTGAAAGTCAGATTACACAGAGAGGAGAGGCAGAGAGAGAGAGAGCTCTTCCATCCGATGGTTCATTCCCTAATTGGCTGCAATGGCTGGAGCTGTGCTGATCTGAAGCCAGGAGCCAAGAGCTTCTTCTAGGTTTCCCGCATGGACACAGGGGCCCAATGGCTTGGGCCATCTTCCACTGTTTCCTCAGGCCACAGCAGAGAGCTGGAAAGGAAGAGGAACAGCCGGGACTAGAATTGGAACCCATATGGGATGCCAGCGCTTCAGGCCAGGGCATTAACCTGCTGTGCCACAGCACCGGTCCCCGTCCTTCATTTTTGGTGGATATTTTTGATAAGTTAAGAATCCTGGGGCCAGCGCTATGGTGCAGCATGTTAATTCCCTAGCTTGAAACACTGGCATCCCATATGGGCATTGGTTCAAGACCTCGCTGCTCCACTTCTAATCCAGCTCTCTGCTATGGCCTGGTAAAAGCAGGTCGAGGATGGCCCAAGTCTTTGGGCCCCTGCACCCATGTGGGAAACCCAGAAGTAGTTCCTGGCTCCTGGCTTTGGTTCAGCACAGCTCTGGCCATTGCGGCCAACTGGGGAGTGAACCAGAGGATGGAAGACCTCCCTCTGCCTCTCCTCTCTCTGTGTAACTCTGACTCTCAAATATATAAAATAAATAAATCTTAAAAAAAAAAGAATCCTGTGTTCCCAAGTATACCAGAGTACTTCAAACAGTTTGTGGAATAATAGAATTAAAAGATAAGCTTATTTTGGTGTAAAATTTTTTTTGAAATCCATTACTTGTTTTTTCTTAATTGTCTTTTCCCATAGACTCTCTCTATATATTTTTAAATATTATCTATTTAAAAGGCAGAATTACAGAGATAGAAAAAGATCCATCTTCTGGTTCACTCCCCATGTAGCTGCAATGGCTGAGGCTGGGCCTGTCCAAAGGCAGGAACCAGGAGTTCCTTCTGGGTCTCGCACCTGGGTGTAGGGGCCCAAGCTCTTGGACCATCTTCTGTTGCCTTCCCAGGTGCATTAGCAGAGAGCTGGATCTAAATCAGAGCAGCCAAAACTCAAACCAGTGCCCATATGGGATGCCAGTGCTGCAGGCTGGGGCTTTAACCCATTGTGCCACAGTGCTAGCCCTCCATTTGGTTTTTATTTTGTATTTTATAATTCTTTTTAAGATTTGTTTATTTACCTGTTTTGAATAGCAGAGCAACAGAGGGAGGGAGAGACAGATCTTCATCTGCTGGTTCATTCTCCAAGTGGTTGCACCAGATAGGTATGGGTCACGCCAAAGCCAGGAGCCAGAAATTCCTTCCTGGTCTCCCACACGAGTGGCAGAGGCCCAAGCACCCAGGCAATCCTGCACTGCCTTCCCAGGCATGGCCCTTGTGCTTTCTAATTCTTTGATGAAATTATTAATATTTTCTTAATGTTCTTGAATATTGTTGTCACCAGAGAAAAGGCCATGGAAGCTGTTGGGTTCTTGTCTTCATGCAAGAAAGAATTAAGGCATGAGACAGCAAAGTGATAAAGTTTTATTAGGGATAGGGCATCCATCAGAATGGAAGGGACAGATAGAGTGCCCAGTCACTCAAACTGGGGTAGAGTGAGGTTACATGGTTGAGTGGAGAGAATATACCTGGCAGGCCAGGCCAGGCCCAGCCAGGCAGATGGCTCAGCAGAGAGGCAGAGGGCTGAGCACACAGTCCATTTGGACTCCCTAGGTTTTTAAGGGAGTCTGTTTACCCACCTCCCCCTCTCCTCCAGGACGAAAGAGGGAGAGTCCTGACTGAAGGGTTTGCTGGGTGAAAATTAGCAAATTCTTCCCCAGATTTGCTGGCTGGAGCAGAGTAGAGAGGCTTCCCTTAGGGGTCTGTGAAGGTTTTATTGCCTCATGTTATCAGTCAGGTAACCCATTTGGTCCTGAGGAGAGAATACTCCTGGGAGCTTTCCTTGTGAGGAAGAGCTGGGACTACCTGAGCAGGACTTTGAAGTGCAAAATACTGGGCTCTGGAGCTTCTGCAGTAGGTGCTGGTTTTCAGGCCTTTCTCACAAACACAGGCTAAATTTCTGCCTTCCTACCTAACATTGTTATGGTTATTTTAAAGTTTATGGATTGGGGGGGTCAGTGTTGTGGCATAATGGGTGTAAGCACCTCCTGCAGTGCTGGCATCCCATATGGACTCCTGTTCAAGTACTGGCTGCTCCACTTCCAATCCAGCTCCCTGCTAATGTGCCTGGGAGAGCAGCAGAGGATGCCCAAGTCCTTGGGCCCTGCACCCACATGGGAGACCCAATTGAAACGCCTGGTTCCTGGCTTCATCATGGCCCAGCCCTGGACATTGTGGCCATTTGGAGAGTGAACCAGTGGATGGAAGATCTCTCTCAATCAATCTCTCTCTCTCTCTCTGTAACACTGCCTTTCAAATAAATTAAGTAAATCTTTTAAAAATAAACAATTTTACAGATTAATTCTAAAGTTTATGGTCATTAAAATATATAGATTGATTTTAGATATGTCCCTATTATTTCTTTTTGCCTTTTTTCTCAAGTGACTTTTGTCTCCTTGTGTATGCCTATTTTGGTTTTCAAGAATTGGCTATTAAAACCTATAGCAGTAATTTGAAATTGTGTATTATATAATCTTTTCCCACCAAGAAATAATATTTACTTTTGATTGGCTGCTGTATTAGGGGTTCTATCAATCCTCAGCTACTTTGATTCAATTGGAAATTTAACTGAGCTGATTATTCCTTGAACAACCTGCTCTGTTTTTTTTTTTTATTCATCCTGTCCTTAGAGCATTTCACCTTGAAGTTCCAGGCAAACCCTGTGAGTCCCAGGGATGACCCCTTTGGTCACCCTATATTCAAATCTGTCTTTCCATATGAGGCTATTGAAAATTCTTAACTATTTAGCCTCACACATTTCATGGAGAATTTGCAGGCATTGGTCTCCCATCACCACTGCCTTTAGGGTCTGCATGAGGCATAAGCTGGAGTCAGGTGTCAAATGCAGGTACTCTGATGTGAGATGCAGGTATCTTAACCAGCTTCTTAACCACTAAGCTAAATGCTTGCTCCATGGATTTTTTTTTTAATAGGAGAAAATATCACTGAATGAGCCAATTTGATTATTTGCTCAACCACCTTCCCTTAACCCTACCTTTTTCTTCCTAGAAAGTAAGGTCAGTTTACGGCAATTAAAACCAAATGTTCATTTACCAGTCCATTTTTCACATGATTTATCTCACTTAGTGAGATTTCTTCAGCTTAGGAAGTAGAAGTTATTTGATTTTCTCTTTTTCCCTCCCTAGACTTGGAAACTAAACTTACAACCAGGAATGCTGTACTAACAGAGGATACTTCTGAAGATTTATCACAGGAAGCCATAGTAGAGAAACTCACAGAAAGTGGCCTATGGGATTCCAGAATGGGAAGATTATGGACATGGAATGACAGGATTTTGAGATTGCAAAATAGTCTGGAGAGTCACTTGAGTCAAAAGATTGTTACACAAAAGAAAATGCCCACTGGTCAAAGAGGCTTTAGATTTGGATCTGTTCTTTTTCCAGAACCAAAAGTTGTCACGGAAGAGCCCCACAGAAAATTCCAAACACAAGAGGAAGGGTTCACAAAAAATTTGGATTTGATTACAGATACCCACTTGGGGAAGGTAATTGGCAAGGATCCAGAAGACATCAAATCCATAAGGCAGACTTCAGAACTCACTTTGAGGGAGAAATCATTAAAAAAGAAAAACCCTATGAATGTGGCACATGTGAAAAAGCCTTTCGCTATAGGTCATTCAACATCAGAGAACACACCCAAAGAAAAACCTTATGAATGTAGTGAATATAGGAAAGTATTCAGCCAGCTCTCATATTTTATCATAAAAAATTCACACTGGAGAAAAACTCTATAAATGTACTGAATATGGAAAAGCCTTCATTACTACTCCAAATGGCCATTAACCTGTGAGAAGATTTGAACCCAAGTAGTACTCAGGGAAACGCAGACTAAACTTCCAATGAGATCAAGCTTCCACTCATGGAGATAGAAAAAAATCAAGAGATCTGTTGCTAATTGGACTTGGGGGACATGTGTATTTTTGTTTTTTTGCTTGTTTGTGAGGAACTTTGGTTTATTTTGGGAAATGTCACATTTAAATGTCAAAAAAGTATTTAAGTGTTTTGTTTAAAAAAAGATTTATTTATTTGAAAGAGTTACAGAGAGAAATAGAGACACATACACACAGAGAGAGAGAGACATCTTCCATCCACTGGTTCACTCCCCAAATGGTCACAATGGCCGGAGCTGAGCCGACCAGGAGTCAGGAGCTTCTTTCGGGTCTCCCATGTGGGTGCAGGGGCCCAAGGACCTAGGCCATCCTCCGCTATTTTCCCAGGCACCTTAGCAGAGAACTGGATTGGAAGTGGAGTGAGCAGCCCATATGGGATGCCAGCACTGCAGGAAGAGGATTAACCTAGTACACCACAGGGCCAGCCCCTAAGATGTTTTCATAAAATTAAGGGAACAGCTTATACAAATAACCATGTATTCTTACCTAAGTGTTCTAGCTTGTATTTGTACCAGCAGTCCAGCAATGCAAACTATTTAAAATATACATATTTATCCTTTGACCTAGAAGATGCAATTTTGAGAATTTTTCCCATGGAAATAAAAATAATATCAATGCATAAGAATACAAATAGGGCCAGTGCCATGGCTCAATAAGCTAATCCTCCACCTAGTGGTGCCGGCACACCAGGTTCTAGTCCTGGTCGGGGCGCCGGATTCTGTCCCAGTTGCCCTTCCAGGCCAGCTCTCTGCTGTGGCCAGGGAGTGCAGTGGAGGATGGCCCAAGTGCTTGGGCCCTGCACCCCATGGGAGAGCAGGAGAAGCACCTGGCTCCTGCCTTCGGATCAGTGCGGTGCGCCAGCCACAGTGGGCCGGCTGTGGCGGCCATTGGAGGGTGAACCAATGGCAAAGGAAGACCTTTCTCTCTGTCTCTCTCTCTCTCACCATCCACTCTGCCTGTAAAAAAAAAGACAAATAAATAAGAGTGTTTCCTGAAGTATTGTTTAGAGGGAGAGGGAGAAAAGCCCCATTTGGAAAAGTAAGCACTCATTACTAGATAAATTGTGATAAATCCTTATTTTGAAGCTCATGAGGATAATTTTTAAAATGAGTTCTGTCTGTACGGGAGAACTTCATGATAGTTCCACAATGTTTTGGTAAATAATTGCTTTATAGCAGGAATGTATATACACAAGGTTCCATTTTTGTTAATGATTATAACACGTATTATGTACTTCTGTGTGTATGAGATTGGATGTGCATGGAGAAAACAATGGAAGACTATACACCAGGTATCAATACTGGTTACCTTGAGGGAGAAGAGATGTGGGGAGAAGGGAGGAGGAGAAGACTGGAAAAATGGAAACATGCAAATGTAGCATATGGTGTAAAACTATGCAATATTCTATATTTATGTGAACTTTGAAGGGACGAATGAAGTAGTCTCTGAAAACTTAATGATGGTTGTTTCAGGGTTGGTGGACTATCAGGTACTTTTTGTTTGACTTTTCTGTGTGTGTAAGTTTTTCTTTACAATTAGTAGGTAATATTTACATAAAAAATGAATAGCATCTTTCTTGTGAAGCAAATTTATTTGACACCTACTGTGTCCCAGGCACTCCTATAGGTGTTGCTTATATATAGGTGAGGGAAGGGTACTCTAGGGTCTAAAAGCATGAGAATTGGTTCTAATGTTGGGTAGACTCCCAAAAACTTACCCAGTACTTCATTCCTTCCACTCCCTGAATTTCATCTGGAGGAAGTAGTGAAAAGTTCAAATGAAAGACATGCCCCAAAATATCTGGAACTTTGTACAGGCTGTAGACCAGAAGACTACAGTCTCAAAAAATAGTTCCAGGGGCTGGCACTGTGGTGCAGTGGGTTAACACCCTGGCCTGAAGGGCTGGCATCCCATATGGGCACTGGTTCTAGTCCCAGCTGCTCTTCTTCAGATCCAGCTCTCTGCTTTGGCCTGGGAAAACAGTAGAAGATGGCCCAAGTCTTTAGGCCCCTGCATCCCATGGGAGACCCAGAAGAAGCTCCTGGCTCCTGGCTTTGAATGGGCATGGCTCTGGCCATTGTGGCCAATTGGGGAGTGAACCAGTGGATAGAAGTCCTCTCTCTCTCTGTGCCTTTCCTCTCTCTGTGTAACTCTGAATTTCAAATAAATAAATAAATCTTTTTTTTAAAGTAGTTCCAGGGGCCAGCACTGTGGCATGGCAGATGAAGCTGCCTCCTGCAGTGCTGACATCCCATATGGGCTCCAGTTTGAGACTTGGCTGCTCCACTTCCAATCCAGCTCTCTGCTGTGGCCGAGGAAAGTAGTAGAAGATGGCCCAAGTCCTTGGGCCCCGGTATCTGCTTGGGAGACCCAGATGCTCCTGGGCTCCTGGCTGTAACCTGATCCAGCCCCAGTCACTGTGGTCATTTGGGGAGTGAACCAGCAGATAGAAGATACTTCCTTTTCATTTTTTTTCCAGGGTGGGGTGTGTGTGTGTGTGTGACTTGTTTTTAGTCCTCTGGAAGAGTGTAAAAGAGTGGCATCACTGGTATAGCTGTTACTTTTGCCATACGTGTTTTCCATAAAAATGACCAATGAAGCTTTCTTGGGCTAGTTTTCTTTGAAGAAATTTTTCAATTATGGATTCTATTAACTTGATATTAATTATTAATTTGACATAGGATGATTCAAATTTTCTATCATGTAAGTTTTAGAAATGAATTTTTTGATAATTTGTCCATATCATTTCACCAAAATAACTTAATTTTTGACTTTCAATAATTCATAATATCTTCTTATCACATATCTGTATGATTTAAAGTGAAGACCCCCTTTTCAGTCCCCATATTGGTATCTGTTTGCTCTCTTTTTAAAGTTTTCTTATTGAGGCTCTCTAAGGATTTTAATGTTTAAAAAAAGTCTCAACTATTAGCTAGTTTTCATATTATTACCTCCTATGTATTCTATTTAGATATGACTCACTTCCTTTTGTAGATTCTTGGAATGAGATCTTAGTTGATTTTCATCATTTCTTTTTTGCTAATATTTGTATTTATGCATTTCTTCATGAGTACTTATCTGCATCCAATAGGTTTTTATTTTATTTTTATCATTTTTATTGATAAAAATAGATGGAACAAGTTGAATCTAATTTAACCTTATGTTTTGATGAGGTTTTTTTTAATGGAACAATTCATGAATTTGCATGTCATCCTTGTGCAGCAGCCATGTTAATCTTCTGTGTCTCGTTCCAATTTTAGTCTATGTGCTGTTGAAGTGAGCACCTAATGGGCTTTCACAAACTTAGAGCCACCACCACTATCAAGCTATATTCAGTTCATACAAATTTAGGATTCTTACATCCTCCAGTTGAGCTGATACTTTTGTCAATATTAAATAGCCTCCTCTGGCTGTCTAATTTCTTTTTTTACAATCAGTTTTTTTTCCAGTCCTAATATAATCGAGGCAATTTTCCTTCGGTTAGTATTTGTATGGTATGGTAGGCAGAATTCTACAATGGTCTCCAAATTCCCAGCTCCTGGTGTGCATGCAGTTCCCAGCTATTCAAACTCTAAAAACTAGGTGCTTTTGTGAAGGGATGTTACAATTTTAATTCATTTAAAATTAATTTTAATTAAGGCTCTAGGTCAACTAACCCCAAGGGAAATGGCCCTCAGAGGGTGTGACATAACCAGGTGTTCTGCTGGTGAGAAAGGTTTCATACCCTGTGGAGTCAGGGTGAGACATCAGCTTTGTGGCTGACTTTGAAGGTGGTGGGGCTATGTCTCAAGGATTGTAGGCAAACTGATGACAGAGCAGTGTGTGGACAACAGCCAGCAAAGAAATGGGGACCTCAGCTCTGCTCACTGGTTGAAGAGTTTGCACGTGGGTTCTTCCCAAGTCCCCAGGCGAAATGCAATCCAGTTGACCCCTTGATTTCAGACTTGAGACCCAGACAGTGCATTCTTGGATTTCTGACCTACACAGCTGTGAGCTAATCCACAGTTAATGTTACACAGCAATAGAAAACATTACACATGGTGTGTCATTTTGGATTCTTCTACTTTCAGCTAATCTCTGTCCTTAAAGCAGATCTCTTGTAAGCAGTATATATGTAGGCATCATTTTTATCTTGTCTAATGATCTTTGTTAATTGGAGTGTTTAATCCATTTACATTTAATGTCATTGCTAGTGCAGTTAGATTTAAATTTCTCATCTTGTTATTTGTTTAATCTGTTTCTTCCTTTATTTCCCCTTTCTTGCTTTTCTGTACATTAACCAGAAGTTTTTCATTATCTCATTTTTTACTCTAGTCAATGTAATATATACTCACTAATTATTTAGAGCAGTGGTTCTAAAAACTAACCTCATAATAACTCTGAGACATTATTTGCCTTTTTCACTCTTGTTCTCTTGAATGAACAATGAGGTTTTCCAGAAACTACATGACATGTGATACTGCAAATTTAGTGCAGAAGGAAATATGCTAATTCACTTATCTTAAGCCCTTGTTACAAACTTGATAGTACCCAGCCCTTCCACCCACCACCCATGCCAAAACTCCTGTATAGAAGCCCTAACACCCAGCATCTCAGAATGTGACTGTATCTGGAAATAGAATCCTGAAAGATGTGATTCATTAAAGAAGAGAGCCTGAGGATCAGCCCTACTCCAATCCAACCGCTTTCCTAATAAGAAGGGACTTAGAACACAGCAAGACAAGAGAGAAGCTATTAGCAACCCAAGGAGCGGAACCTCAGGAGAAGCCAACCCTTCAGGCATTTTGATGTTGGACCTCCATCCAACATCCAGAATTGTGAGAAAACCGGTTTCTATCCTATAAGCCATCCATTCTGTGGTATTTTCTTACCACAGTCCTGCAAATGAAGATGTTAAAGAGGTGTGCCAAAATGGAAAACAATGCCACTCTTTGCATCTAATTTTTTGTCTTAAAAATATTTGTATTAAAATAACATTTTCCAATACCATGTTGTGGGTTATTTTTTCAATAAATATTGTTAACTTTTATCATTTTAATTTCAAATACCAAGGCCAGCTCTGTGGCATAGCAGATGAAGCTGCAGCCTGCAGTGCCAGCATCCCATATGGGTGCCGGTTTGAGTCCCGGCTGCTCCACTTCTGATCCAGCTCTCTGCTATGGCCTGGGAAAGCAGTAGGGGATGGCCCAAGTCCTTGAGCCCCTGCACCTGCATGGGAGACCCAGAAGAAGCTCCTGGCTCCTGGCTTCGATTCAGTGCAGCTCTGGCTGTTGTGGCCAGTTTGGGAGTGTACCAGCAGATGGAAGACCTCTCTCTCTCTCTCTGCCTCTCCTTCTATCTCTCTGTAACTCTGACTTGGGTACTTGGGTCTCTGCCACCCACATGGGCAACCCAGATGAAGCTCCAGGGTCCTGGCTTTGGTCTGGTCCAGCCCAGCTGTTGCAGGCATTTGAGGGGAGTAGAAGATCATCAAAGATTGTTTGTGTGAGCATGTCTACATCACCGTGCCTTTCAACAATCTCTCTCTCTCTCTCTGCCTTTCAAATAAATAAAAAATTGTACATGGGGGAAGATACCATTTTAAATAGTTATGTGTTTCTTGTTTTCATTTTTCTCTAGCTACTTACTAGTTTCCTTTTGTCCTTGGATTTTTTATGTTTCACTGCAATGTCCCAGGGTGTAGACTTTGTTCTTAAATCATAGTTGAAATTTGTAGAGCTTGAGACAGTCCTGTGATGTCTTATTTTATGATAAGAATTTTTTTTAACTTTTATTTAGTAAATATAAATTTCCAAAGTACAGTTTATGGATTACATTGACTTTCACCCCCATAATTTCCCTCCCACTCACACCCCTCCCATCTCCCGCTCTACCATTCCGTTCACATCAAGATTCATTTTCAATTATCTTTATATACAGAAGATCAATTCAGTATATATTAAGTAAAGATTTCATCAGTTTGCACCCACACAGAAACACAAAGTGTAAAAATACTGTTTCAGTACTAGTTATAGCATTACTTCACATTGGACAACACATTAAGGACAGATCCCACATGAGAAGTAAGTACACAGTGACTCCTGTTGTTGACTGAACAATTTGACACTCTTGTTTATGGCATCAGTAATCTCCTTAGGCTCTAGTTATGAGTTGTCAAGGCTATGGAAGCCTTTTGAGTTCACTGACTTCGATCTTATTCCGACAGGGGCATAGTCAAAGTGGAAGTTCTCTCCTCCCTTCAGAGAAAGGTACCTCCTTCTTTTTTTTTTTTTTTTTTTTTTTTTTTTTTTTTTTTTTTTTTTTTTTTTATTTTTTTGACAGGCAGAGTGGACAGTGAGAGAGAGAGACAGAGAGAAAGGTCTTCCTTTTGCCGTTGGTTCACCCTCTAATGGCCGCCGCGGCCGGCGCGCTGCGGCCGGCGCACCGCGCTGATCCGATGGCAGGAGCCAGGAGCCAGGTGCTTTTCCTGGTCTCCCATGGGGTGCAGGGCCCAAGCACCTGGGCCATCCTCCACTGCACTCCCTGGCCACAGCAGAGGGCTGGCCTGGAAGAGGGGCAACCGGGACAGAATCCGGCGCCCCGACCGGGACTAGAACCCGGTGTGCCGGCGCCGCTAGGCGGAGGATTAGCCTAGTGAGCCGCGGCGCCGGCCGAGTACCTCCTTCTTTGATGGCCCATAATTTCCACTGGGATCTCACTCGCAGAGATCTTTCATTTAGGTCTTCTTTTTTTTTTTCCAGAGTGTCTTGGCTTTCCATGCCTAAAATACTCTCATGGGCTCTTCAGCCAGATCTGAATGCCTTAAGGGCTGATTCTGAGGCCAGAGTGCTATTTAGGACATCTGACATTCTATGAATTTCCTGTGTATCTCACTTCCCATGTTGGATTGTTCTCTCCCTTTTTGATTCTATCAGTTAATATTAGCAGACCAGTCTTGTTTGTGTGATCCCTTTGACTCTTAGACCTATCAGTGTGATCAATTGTGAACTGAAGTTGATCACTTGGACCAGTGAG